TCGCGAGAGTCACGGCTATGCCTCTCAGAAACGAAAAAAAAACATGTTTTCTGTTTTCTTTTTTCTTTTGCGAGAGTCACGGTTTTGCTTCCATGAGAGGCACGGTTTTATTTTCGCGAGAGTCACGGCCGTGCCTTTCGGAAGGGAAAAAACGCATTTTTTATTTTTTTCCCTTTGCAAGAGTCACGGTTTTGCTTCCGCGAGAGGCACGGTTGTGCTTTCGCGAGAGTCGCGGCCGTGCCTCTCGGAGACGAAAATAAAACGTGTTTCCTGTTTTTTTCTTCCTTTTGTGAGAGTCACGGTTTTGCTTCCGCGAAAGGTATGGTTGTACTTTCGCGAGAGTCACGGCCGTGCCTCTCGAAAAGAGAAAAACACGTTTTTTTTCATTTCGTGAGAGTCACGGTTTTGCTTCCGCGAGAGGCACGGGTGTGCTTTCACGAGAGTCACGGTTGTGCCTCTCGGAAACGAAAAAAAACTCTTTTTCTGGTTTTTTTCCTTTCGCGAGAGTCACGGCCGTGCCTCTTTCGGAAAGGAAAAAAAATCCGTGCTCCCGGTTCGGTTTTTTCATCCGGTTTTTCTGGCCGGTTTCTTTTGTGAAAAAAAGTACATCAAAACCTATCAACATGGGATCTAGATTTGAAGATCTCGACGCGAGGAATCCAACGGTAAAAGCGGGTTGAGATTTGGATGCACGGTTTGAGAGATAAAACATTTTGAATAAATGGATCTACGAAAAAAAGAAAAACTCCTAGGTTGCGACAAATGGCGCGTTGCATGTGCATCACTTGTCGCAACTTAAGGTGTTGGAGCGATCTTTACAACAAGTACTCCTCAACTAGTGATTTCGTAAAGAAGCAACGTGGGACATTTAATTGAAAAAACAACATGGGGTTTCCGTATATGTGAGTCAACGCACGCACTGCTGCTGGGCAGCCCAATATGGTAACATAAAAAATAAATCCTTTTGCAACTGAGCGGGCTGGCCAAGGCCGGAGCACACGTACTGCTGCTGGCAGCCCAATACGGGGACGGGAAACAAATCGGACTAAAATCACACCCCAAAAAATAGTATCACCTCTGAAATGGTACGGGAGAAAATAAGTCTATACGGTGGATCAAAAATCAGTGAAACACACCTCACTTTATAAGCAGGTAGGTCGATATATATTAGCTCTAAAGTAAGTGTCATCCACTTTAATTATGAACTATGCTGTTAAACCACTATGCATAATTATGCGCAATGTGGTTTAAATCTAGTTTCCGATTTGGGTTTCGAATGAGATGTTTGTGCATAATTTGAATTTAAAAGGTTAAACTTAAGGGTTCAGTTAGCTCCACACATTTTTAACTCTTCATATTTGAGGAGTTATGATTTTAGGAGATATCTGAGGGAGAATATTTCAATGATTCGATTAGAGACTCCCTTGGAGTGAAGGCAAAAGTATTGTTGATGATGCATTGGAGCGCCCATTTTCTTTGCTCGCCGCAGAACATTTTCAAGAACATCATCATTTTTTTCATTACCAAACGATTATTGAAACTTGTACTAGGACTAGAAAGTTAAGAGGCTGAATTGAGGCATTGAAAAGTTAAACGCTAAAGCGAGGGACATGTAAGGCGGGCGTGTAGCATCGTATTGATATATCTCGGCTCCTTCAGCTCGTCATCTCAAGCTTCCCCTCTTCTCGGTTCATCTGTTCTCCTCCACTCCGTTGCTCCCCTTCCCACTCCACCATTCCCATCAGAATCCCGCTCCCGAATTCGCCGGAGTCCCCGCGGAATCCTCCCAGCTCCACCCTCCCGGAGCTCGATTTGTTCCCTGGGCCCGCCGGCTCGGCCGCCTCTTCGCTCCGCAGATCCGCGCCCTCCCCGGTGATTCGACTCGCATGAGCTCGGATAGGTATCAGTCCTCTTTTAATTTTGCTGTTGATGCCGGGTCGCAGTCTCCGAAAGAGGTGGTACCGCCTGACAGTTTGCTGCTCGCAGCTCGCTGCTGGGCGATGAAAATCTGTCATTTCCGCTGAGAATATGATACAAACCGAATAACACAACCTCGCATACCACTACTCGATCAGAACTGATGCTCGCGGCCCTTCTACCTTTGCAACACTCCGTATGGCAGCTTCTACTAGTGTTAGCCAGGCCAACGTAATTTCTTCTATTTTCCTAACAGCCGGTGTGCTTGTACTTGTGATTCTTGATTTGCAACACTCCATATACCACTATTCTGCTACCATTATGTGCTTGTGATTCAAATTCCTTCTACCTATTTTCCTAACAGCCGGTGTTAAGTTTAGATTTCTCTGGTCCAGATACCTGACACTGACAGTGATGCGCAATTAACTATGAGTATATGCACACTCTTGTCCACCAAATCAGACAGCTGGCCAGTTTTGCCAATCCTTGTCTCAGTCGCTTTGAATTCTAAATTTCTATTCCTGAAAGTCATCGTCGGTGTGCTATCTCACATCTAAGAAGCTATAAATAGCGTAGATCCCTTTTTGAAACGAAGGCTCAAGTAGAGCCCGGCTTTGAATTAACAAAGCCATTAACCGGTCAGGATTACACAAGGCCACCAAGCATGAGCGACCGAAAGATACATGGAAGTTGACCGAGCAACTTACAACGCAACGCACACTACTGCACACCAAGAAAATACACGAGAAAGTCCTGCAAGTAATGTCGAAGCCCGCTGCACCCCAAGACCAAAGACAGGAAAACAAAGAAACATCAAGGTTCAGTCAGTAGCATGGAGACACCGGGGGTCGCCTGACCATGGAGCATCGGACAAAACGAGCACCTGTCTTCCAACACCGAAGAGGAACCCTATCCTCTCGCCTAGGCTCGAAGGCGCCGCACCATCGGATCGTTGGGAGCTCACCTGAGAGCTAGAGCAGGCGCCGGCCGACACACCAGAGCAAGTAAACTATCGGTCCTCGCCACACCAAGGACACACTACATCCGCTACACTGCCACCTTCCTTGTACACCGAGAAACAGAAGGAAAGCTGCCGGGAGGATCATCGAAGAAACAATGCAGAGCACCAGGGAAGAAAGTTGGAAGCACCAGGTGCCGCTCCAGTGTCCGCACAAGGGAAGAGGCTTCTGCGGTGCGCGTCGTGGGGCTGTCAACGGGAAGAGGAACCCTATCCCCCTCCAACCCGGCTCAGGAGCAGAGCCACCATGACACACCACGACCTTGCCGCCGCAGAGCATTACTCCGTCAAGGCATACACCTACAGGAACACACACCCTACACAAAAAAATCACCCCTTGGGCTCGCCGCCGACGGGCGCTCTCCAACCTCACAACCACTCTCCCGAAGAACCAGAGAGCCCCAGGCGGCGTCTCCAAGGAGAGAACGACGCGCATGGCGCCGCCGCCGCCCAACCCGGGACGGGTTTTGGGCTTTCACCCGGGATCTGGGACGGGGGTGGAAAAAAATAGGTCCTCAGCGGCGCCTCCAGGGAGGAAAACCACGCGCGCACGCGCCGTGGCCGGAGAACCGGCCAAGGGATTACCCCAGACGCAATCCTATACCACCATCACCCCGCCAGCACCGGATCTGATAGCCAAAGCCACAGATTGAACACCGCCAGAGGGGGGAGTGGAGCAGAGGAGGAGAGAAGCACGACCTTCAGATCTGGAGTGGAAGAAGCCCACACCACGACCACCTCCTGCCGGCTCCTCGCTGCCCAAGCTGCCGAGGAGGCCGTCCGCCGCATCCCGCGCCCGCGACCTGCCGCGAAGGTGGCGCCGCCTCGCCGTCCGGGGCCGCCGCCCCGGCGTCCAGGGTCCTTCGCCAAGGGACGAAGCGACGGGGA